AATAACTAACCTATTGCAAAAACACCCTCATTCCAAGTGCCTTCAGCATTTAAACACAATTTATCACACATTTTACAGTAAGAAGGATGAAGGACAACCTGTTTATACTTCCTTATTGCCAAAGTCTGTCAAGTCAAGTGGCAACTTCAAATCATACGGGAATGAGTAACGACTGTACTCCAGTGTTATTACAAGCAGTAGTGTCAGGTGAAACCCTTTCTTAACACTTTTGAGAACTTGAACAAATCTCCACTCCAGCCATTGCTAGCCTGCACCACACGCACAAGTGGTTTTGAGTGTGTTCTTGGGACGGCGTACGGTGCTGAACAACGCTTCCCGTGAGTGATGCAGTATTCACGAATAATCCATTGTAAAAGTGTAAATGAGATGAGTTTCCTAGTCTGGAGAGTTGGTCCAAGGCAAGTCGACACCAATTGCTTTTAGGTCTAGAGTCTACGTTTACTAAGTAGCCGCAAGAAAGTGGACACTAAATGGAGGAGAGTAATGCAAAGAACGATTGCAGTTGTTTTAGCTCAACTCTATGTATCCGTTCGGTTGTGAGTTTAAATACCACGGTACATGTCTTCCGAATATTTTAACTGCGTTTCATGAATGATGCATCAGGCTAAAGCGGTTCACAAGTGACTTTGGCAGTCCGCAGATGTAGTGGTTCCAGTGATGATGATGTAACCATCAGGCCTGTGTACCATTGCATTTAAAGTTGTTGTCGTCAAGCTTGGATTGATCTTGTCCGATACAAGCATTGCAAATACGTGTGTCCACCCTAATAATAATCCCTATTTTCATGAATAATAAACGACTCATCAATGAAATGGGGATGAAACAAAGCTAAAGAAGGGAAAGTTTTGCCTATTCGAATACCCATTTACAGAGTTGTTTTGGCACCTTATTATTTAGATACAGATACAAATTTTACTTGCATAAATATTCAGAACCAGCACCAAATTATTCTGAAACTTCATCACTCACTTAGACCTAAACCCAGGCTTTGTTTGATAACAGATGAAACTGCAAAGAATACCGCAGAGGCAAAAATGGTGACAAACCGTCCAAATAACTTTCCTTATTCTAACAAGAATTTCGAGCGGAACTCCGCAGGACTTATTTAAGCTTTAAAAGAATAGGACCTTTATCATTTCACATACATTCAGCAAGGTGGACAAATTGATGGCGTTTACGAGTTGGCCACCACTTCCACACATACTGGAGGAAGGGGTGGTTCACAATTTACAATTTCAATCGAATTTACGTTCCTGTGGAAGGTGATGCCAAGTTCAAGCAAATATGTTCGGCCTCCACCGAATAAAAAATTTGAGCCAAGCGTAGTCTAAACAAAAATAGCATTTGCAACGTAGGAAAAATGGATTTTCTTTCTCTCTTCTTAAAATTATTCCAAATTAACTGGGATAAAATATTTCGTTGTTTTAGAAAAACACATTCCATTTTTTCATAAACGTTTGTTTCGCGAACTTGGCAATCCTTTTTAGTATTTTAAAATTAAAACCCAGCGAAACGAAAGTTACAGAATCCACAAAGCTTAAAAGCAAAACACCTTTCTACTATCTTCATTTAAGACGTGGAAAGTAGTTATTCGCAATTGCTGGAACGCCGTCTGTCCTAGCGCCTGCCTTTTGGCGTGTTGATTCTACACCGTCCACAAAATCTCACTCTGGTTCAGTCACCTCGATTGGCCGGTAGTACGCTCAGCGAGAATTTAAAGGTGAAAATAGTCACTGAAAGGTCCTGAGATTTTCTTGAAGAATAAAGGTGAGATAATACTCGAAGAGGCATATGCTATCCCTTGGTTGATGGTTTAACTCTTGGTTTTGGTAAAGGAACCAATTAGGTGCTCCGCCATTGTAACTTCGCCAAATGGCCTAATCTCAAGGCTAGGTCAGTAGCCCCAAGCCCTTCCGAGTCTCAACAATACATATTCTGCCCGAGTATTATGTGTCCGGGTGCTAGGTATGCATTGTCGGCGGTTAGTAGATATAACAAGCAATATTTGGAAGCAGAATGTGGGATGCAGAAAAATTGTAAAACGACTTATTTACAAAAATGATGCAAATTTGTGAACTCAGCACAAATTACTGAGGGAAAAAGACTCCTAAGCATGATTACTAAATGTTTCCAAACAAAAAATCATTTTTCTCAAAAAGGCTGATTTTGAATACCTATTCTTCATCTTGAGTCTGATGGTGCCGTCAAGCTGCGAACAGAATTACTGTAGGTCTCTGCCACCTTTAACACCAAAGGGAAGATATATCCAGTTTGGCTTCTCTACCTTTGCAGTCTGTCAAGTTCATCTTCATGAATGACATCCTTCTTAAGTAATTTATGCTTTCAATCAATCTTCACTGAGAAAATTTCATTACTGATATTGGAAACCATCTTGCATTTTGTTATTCGTGTTTTCAACTAAAAACCGTTGATTTGGAGGCGAAAAGTGTAAAATAATTCGGTGGTAACATTTCGTTGAAGGTAAATAATACTTAAATATTTTGAGGGAAATTCTAAGTAAGCAGTCTGTAGTAAAAATTCAAAAACAGAAAGATGGATCAAAAAAGGTGAAGTATCTTCGCTCATTGTATCCTCTTGAGACTTCCAAAAAGACTACAGAAAACATGACAAATTGTTTTGGAGCTGTTGGCATGACACAAAGGCCAGGCTGCGCGGTGGAAACCACCTCGTACCTCGTTATTCGTGTTTTCCACCAAAAACCGTCGATTTGGAGGTGATAAAGTGCTAAATAATTTGATTGTAACATTTCGTTGAAGCTAGGTGATACTTAAAAATTTAGAGAAGAATTTTAAATCAGTAGCCTGAAGGTAGTAATCCAAAAAAGAAAGATGGAGCAAAGAGTATGAATGATCTCCACTTGTTTTATTGTCCCGAGACTTCCCAAAAGAGGACAGAAGATATGACACATGACTTGAAGACCAGGCGGCCCAGTGAAGGTACAATGGCGAAACAGCTAAGTGGGCCTTACCAAGACTGAGAGCTAAACAAACAACTATCACCTTACGCCTCTTCCACCAAATAAACAAACGAAATCCCGATTTAGTTGCTACCTGTGTTTAAAAAATAATTGTGTGCTCCCTTCTTTACGGAAATGGAAAAATAATGGTTCACCACGAGTCAGGGAATCTTTCAAAACGGCATCACCTTTACGATGAAGGATAATTCTCCCGATTCATGGCGGGTCCTATTCAATAAGAAAAAGGTGTCAGTCAAGTATACCCTCATTGTTTACCTTCTCGCAGGACGAACTGTTTAAAACACAAAAGGCTACTTTTTTATGGACATGAAACTCCACATTCAGCGTGTGGTCGTCACCTCACAAACTCCCCCCACTCAAGTGGAACGATCGTGCAAAGACACCCAGTTTGGCCATGTCCTCAGCCCTGTCAGACAGCCACAGCGTTTTAAGCTCTAAATGGCCACCAAAGTACAGTCACCACTCCCATTATCCACCCGCACATCAGCTAACCCCGTCCGCCCACCGACCACAGATATTAGCCACTCCCTCGCCGTCACCGTCGGGAAATGGGTGACTGGTGGACGCTGTAATGGTGCCCAATAAGTTGTTGACGTTCAAAAACTCGTTTCCTGTGGTCTAATCGCTTAAATCCTTTAGTTGAGGTCTAACTAGAGCCAGACTTTGTTCCAAAACACTCATGCGTAGCAGTTGTTAATGCCAATAAGCAGTTAACTGTCCTATTTTTATTCCAATTTGAAGGCAAGGATTGCTGAAGGAATGAGTTTACTTCTTGTGGTTAACCATCCACTCTAGCTACCGTGGTTACAGATGCCATCTTGGTGTCATCGTGCAATCTGTGCAGTGAAGACATCACTGATCAGTCATCCCAGAAATGCCAAGGTAACGGACAATGACAGGAACCCCCTTGAGTTGCATTTCTTGCATAAATAATGCGGTGCTTTATTGAGTAATAAAGACGTTTCCGTTTTAGAATAAATAGAAATACCCAGGAAAATCAGAAAAAATACAATGCCATTTCCTAGCGCTTTGAAAACTGTAAAGACTTTGAAAATATTTAATTTTGCTTGTTGTCAAAAGTACCGACTAGATTTTGTAAAAATTTTCCTTCTATTTTTTAGCAATTTTTGCACAAAATATTACACTTGGCTCCTATTCTTACATTCAAAAACTAATTTGTTTTTGTAAAAACAACTAAAGCAGTTCTTTTTCTTATTTCCAGTGTTCGTATTCTCATTCGTGTTACCGTTTACAGTAGAATGCGTCAAACTCAGTGGTGCTTTACTCTGTTCCTCCAGACCCGGGCATCCAGTTTGATTGTGTTGCCATGCTGTCAAAACCACTTTTAACTGTTTTCTCTTTTAAAAAACACCCTTTAATTCATAAAAATGTTTCCATATTTGTTTCAAATGAAGGAGGCAAAGTGTTACGCTTATCAATGGGAAGACGTACAATTCCACCTTTAATGCTGAAACTCGCCGATTCCTCTATTTTCTGACGCAGGTCCTCCCTGAACATTTCATTGTAGGATTCCACTGTCTGCGCCATATCGAAAATGCAAGCCAAATGCCAATCGGGCCAATGACAGAGGCGGCGAGGCTGTCTGATGAGAGACATTAGGTGACTTCACCGGACCGAGGCTCAGTTTTACTATTGTGGCATGTCAACTTTGCTTAGACCCCTCTCCAAATGGCATTCAGATTTATGGAATAGGAGAAAGGTACAAATCAGGTCATTCACACCGCTTCTCGCTCTGTTCATTAGTAGAAGTAACTGATGACATAATATTCCATACTCTGCCAAAGCTAAAAGCTTTTATTCTCATCCTTTTATTCTGACTCTCCACCCATCAGTATATGCTCTTTTGTGCCGATTAAGTCTGCCATCTAGACGAACCATGACTTTTATCAATTTGGATTAGACGCATTTTCCTCTGTTATCAGTCCAGCGTCTTCAGGACTTTCTACAGGCATTATAAGACATGGATCTAGGTAAGACTAAACTGTAGATATGCTGAAGAAGCTGGTTGGTTATTGACAGGAATGGCAAAAATGGAACACTTTGGCCGGCAGTGTGGTAGTCGAATCATGGAGGCTAGAGGGCCAGTGCAAATAATAGGAAAGCTGACCTCACTTTGGATCAGATATGCAGCACTTATATTGTTTAATGTTCCTTTTAGAGAGGGGGCGGGGATACGAATCGAATCTGGTGACAGAGTGAATGGCCTGCAAGCCTCAGGGAGGTTACGGATCCTCACCCCCACCCTAAACTCTGCACTACTTTTGCCTATTCACTTCCTCCAATAAATACGTCGAAATCAAACCAACCTGGTTGTTCCAAGAGTACGAGTAGCACAAGCACAAGCCTCGTTCTACACTGGTGGCAGCGCCAGCCGACCTCCTTCTTCCAGAAATGACATAAACTTCGAACACTGGCTAAAAACAGCTAAATTCAACCCCTATTTTTATCCTCAGTGCCAAAGAATACCCCTCATTCTCTGCGCTCTCCCCATGGTCTATTTTTGGCCGCAGTCGATGGCGGCATCACCCATGATACCGACATTGGTCAATGCTGCGATAAATTGGCTCAACTTGTCATCGATCTGGAAGAACGATCCCTTGTCAGAGATTTTTTCCTCCGTTTCCAAAAAGCTGACGAGGACGATAAAGAATACGCTAAGAACCTTCAACTTCTGGCGGGACGTGGCTTCATTGGCTGTCTTTCAAACAAGGTCTCTAGCTGGGTAACGGTCCAGTTCAGACATGGAGTCGGACCTCCCACTTTGGTTGAGAAGCTCTGCGATGCAAAGACCAACTCGCTAGGTCAGTTGGTGAAGCTCACAACTCTGGGTGGCCCCGATCTTCCAGAAGCCTCAAAACTGGTCCAAGCCGACGTTGTCGCATCGCGCCCTTCTTCTCCCTGGGCTATACATCTAGATTAGGCTAGACTTCCTTTATCCTTTCCTGTTTGTTCCAAAATGGCTCCCATTCTTACATACAAACTCCTGGTAAACTTGAAGGGCGTCGACCCTGTTACGAGGTTCGATTCGTATCCCCGCCTCCTCCCTGAAAGGAACATTAAAACAATAGGGGTGTAACGGTGACACTAGTAGTAATTGTACAAATCGAACTTGCACAATGCTAAAAAAGATTTAACAGATGAATAAATAAAGTGCTATTATTTCTGGCAAATACCCCTATAAGTACAAGAATGGTACAAATGATTTTGTAATGCTTACATTGCTTGTTCTAATCGTGGTTTCGGTAAAGGTTTTACTTACCTGTTCCACCAATGCACCTTCGCCGGGTGGGTCAGCCTTCGGGCGGTGTCAGTAGCCTCAATTCCTACTGCATGTTGATATTACACATTCTGCCTGAGTATTCTCTCGTCCTCGTTCGTTTTCAGGGAAGCCACGGGTCGCTATAATTGGATAAACACATTTTCCATAAATTCACACTCTTGTTTGGGGTAATGTTAGGATTAATACTTTTGCCTTTAATCAAGAATGTCGCATGATCCATCATAACCCATTTTTAATAAGCCCACTAATTTACCTTCCCAGCAAAATACTTTTACTGATTGAAATTAAAATGCTTACCTCAAGGTCAACAATGTTGACGGTTTAGTTGGTACTCCTTTTAAATGAACTCCTCTGAGCGAAACTCTGTCCTCTATTTCAAAAGATTTTTGAATTTATCCAATTCGATTATAGAAGAGTTTGTGGGATTCGGCGGCATATTTATCAATGATGCTTTATTTCAATCCACTTTGATGCAGCAAACAAAGGCATGAAGAGAAATTGGAAGGCAAACTATAAAATGAGGATGAAAATGCATGCTTTGCCTTGAATTCCGGACAAATGCTGCCATATTTCTTCCCACTTAAGTCTACCTGAGTCATAACTATTAATTCCTTACAGAAAAGTTGAATGTTTTAAAATAGTTGAACTGGATAGACATCCCACTTGGTGTAAAGATAGAATCATTTCGTGCAAAAGCATTTCACTTACGATGCAGGGCCAGGTTTTCCAACACTTAGGATGCGTCTATAAATTACATCTCGGATTGTGCTATCAAGTGACCGGAGGCCAGCACATCCAGTGGATGTACAATGGTGGAGCACCTAAGTGATTTTTTTACCAAAACTGAGAGTTGAAAAAACAATTAACTTATCACGTGGGTTTGACTCTTCCTCAAATAGGCAGCCTTAGGTGTTACCTGTCATCCGTTATTGCACGACAAGGAGGACTCCTGACCCAAGATGCCAGGGCGCAACTTCAACACGACTTTCCCTTCCCAGATTTTGCAGATGCAAGTCTAATTTCTAATCACTCACACACGACACTATTGCAGTTTGAAGTTAGAAATAGAGAATCTGCTCTCGCTCACTTAAGTTAAGCTTTAAATTGTTTGTCCCTAAAATCAAATTTTTGGACCAATTTTGAAGACACGGTAGGCATGTCGACTTATTAAAGTAAGCATTAAAAGTCCTGGTAAATGGTAGCACTTCAGTCTTCAATTTATCCTCACTTTTATGCTTATTAATGAAGACCGATCAGATGCAGTCAGATGCTGTTGCCTGAAAAGGCATGGTACTGGTTAGGCAAGTTTCATGGAGAGTCGAAATTAACGCCCTTCTAGGAGATAAACAATGCTGTCTCTGTCTGTTACTGAAAATGTGTCTATTCATGCAGACAGATGGAATGTGATATCCCCACATCGAACAAATGAGTTCCCTTTTCAACAAGTTTTCTTGTCCAAGACAGTTGAGAGACACGATGAAACTCTACACACAGTGGAGTTCTCAAGAAGAGTCAATGAGGGGGGGAATCAAACACCTTCTTACACTCAAGAACATTCCCCATCTACACTGCCTAATTGGCAGGTAGCTTACAAATCACCAACTCAGGACAGAGTAAGGGTGGCGCTGAGGACGGAGCTCAAGGGAAGAGTTGAATTGTGTAGTC